TTCATGCACTTTTATACGAAATGAAAGTCCCCATAGCAATGTTGTATGTTCACTCTGAATCTATGCCTTTATGTGTACATTTATCTACTAAGCCAGCAATGCCGGATAATAGTAATTAGAACAGAACATAAAATCCTTTCTGGGCCATAAATTTCCCATTAGCATGACTTGGAATTTGCGAATATTTCGAAGTGTACTCACATCAAATACGAGTAGTGTTGTCGAGTGTAGTATCAAATACAACTTTGCAACAATCTACTCTCCAACTATCAAAAAGTGGGCCCCGTGTTTGTATGAACAGTTGCATCCATCTCTTTCATCCACAGGAACTCGTGGATGCTTGCAGACAGCAGGGTGACGACGTGTTGCTATGGTGCAACGAGCCCGGTTTGCGTCCCGTCGATAGGATGGGTGCTGATGAGGTGAAGAGTCAAAGATAATTCTGCACCCCTCGTCTCTTGTGCGGCAAGGCTTAGCGAAAAAACATTCTTTGCATTGTGGGAAAAAGTCTGCAATCAGTCCCGAAATCGCCGAAGGGCGAATGACAACTTATTTAAGAATTAGCGACGTCGTCAAAATACACTTGCATGGGATAGAATAGAAATATTTGTTGTTCTAACAAAACCTCATTCCTTATTACGTGGGAAATGACAGTCAAAATTGGTAAGATGGTCCATCACAATCAACGCATTGCCCTAAAATTACAGGATTCAGGACTACTTTTAAACGTCTAGTCAACAATTCAACGTGAGGTTTCACCCTGACGACTATGCACATGACGACCATAAATGGTCGCCATGACAAATTGACTGGGCGATAGGCGTTCTGATGGCTCAAAACTGGCATAAATGACCAACCAATGTTCATCTTTGGGGCATGTCAGAAAGGCGAATATGCACGAAATGGTACCGGTGCTTCTGATTACCGTTTCACCAAATCTGCGCCTGATTGAAGGCTTTGACTCTCGAAAGTCACCAGAAGAACCTGATTCTGTGGACCCAGCCTTTGTGCAATACCTACCCCATAGAATGTATGCTAAATTGTCACTAAACCCCTACAATTGAGCTGAACTACGTGTTGTACATGATGGATGAAGCGTCGGCTATAGTATATTGCATTGTCAAGCCAACAAGATGTGTCTAAGACTGACTCACCTGACAGTAGAATTGAGGTGAAGATGAAAAAAGCTGCCAAAAGGAGGCAAATGACGGAGAGAACGACCAAAGCTATGATCATTCTACGCTCTCTTCTCGGCCGCCGAGTCCACAACCAGCAGTGGAGGCGGGACTTGATTCGGCCGGTCTTGTTGTCGCCCTGAAAGACGGCTTTTATCAAAGAAACATCGACAACCTCTGCATAGTTGGTGAGCAAATCGGCCGAAACGGTACCACTCGGTTGAGACGTCTGTGAGTGCTGCAGTTCGGTGGACGAATGCTGATGGACGAGGGGATGATGCGTGTTCTTCCACTTCGGCTGCCCGACAGACTCCGTCATGGCGTTGTCGGAGGAGGCCATTTCAGCTGCAGTCAGAGGCCGAAAAAATGAGTCTAACAGAAGTCAACTTGGACAAAATCTTGTCTGCACTACTTGCCAACTACTGCTGTAGACGCAGAGATTGCTCTGAATGCTTTAGTCTGAAAGTGTTGAAAACATGCTTTAAACTTGCGCAATATTCACACAAAAAAGACTCAGTCAAATGACAAACGCGTAACAATCTTAAATGAAAGTAATGAAAATTATCACAAAGACGCAATCAGGCATGATACAAATTTGGGAGAAAGCCTAATTTCCGCAGAATAGTGTTCATTAACTCACGAAATTCGGGCATCATTCTTGTTCTTCTTCTTCTTGTGACAAAAGATGGTTGTGGACTGATAAATACTGTGTGGTTTGGTGGAAAGTGGTGATTGTACCAACGGTTCTATGAGGTCTATTCACCCAATTTCGTTGAAGGTGATAAGGAATGTGATGTGGAAAAAATGGCTATCCTTCCTTGAAATTCTCTCTTCCCTCGGACTCAAGGAACCTTGTGGCATTGTGTGGCGTAATGGTAGACGTGTCGAGATCATCCACTGCACTGGCTTGTCTCGAGTCTCGCGCTGGCTGTCGACGAGACCGGTTGAGGCGAGGTCAGAATTGCAGTTCACTCCGGCCAGGATGAGAATACCTTTTCGGCAAAGCAAGCCTATGCTAATTCCGTGGGAAACTTTGGGTCTACTCATAACATTGTGGCAAAATTAAAGCGTCAGTTCGTCTCCATCTCAACCGAACATGGGTGAGTAGATTTCTTACTTTTGTAGTCGTCCGACCATACTCCGGGATTCGACCTCGCCTCAGGGCCTCGACGGCATACTGAGTCGGTAACACGAGCCA